AGTGGTGTGGAAGCTGAGTTCTGTCTGTGGTTATTTTTGGTACACAGAATACATGAAAAGCCTCTGTCAGCAGATGGCCACTGGGCTCTTAATATTCATAAAATTTGGGCCCTCAGTTGACCATGAGGAGTCCATTACAGAGGATAAATTTCTTCTTGGGGTTCACATCACATGAATTTTCTTCAGGTTCACAGCCTGAACCCTTCTTTCTTCAGTCCTCCATTCTTTCCCTTTCTTCTGCTTTAAGATTGACAGAACTCAGATATCAAAATAAGTGGTTTACTACCCTGGACTAGAGCAAGTCTTTGTTAGTCCCCATATGAGCCTTTCAGCTGGTTTTCCCAACCAAACAATACCCCCCTGCTCCAGCGAGGGGATGGCTGGGCTGACAGCAGCAAGGCTACTATTAAACCTCTTTGCAGCCATGCAGCCAGCCACACCAAGAGAGTGGTGACCTCAGCTGTTCTCCCTGATATCTGGGCAGACCTATGCAACCAGTATGTACTTGTATTTGTCTCTGCGAAGGGCCTTGATACATCACTATAATAAAGTATAGGCGGAGGGTTTGTGAGCTCAGTCCTATGTTGGGTTTTGGGATTTGAGGTTTTTTAGTGATCCTCTAAGACCAAAAGAGTAGAGGAGAGCCCGCTTCCAGTCTCCTCCAAGCCAAGCAACATTAGGCCAGGACAGCAGGAGCCCACCGGGCAGAAGTGAAGCCACCTATCCAGCAGGCCTAACAGAAGGGTGGGGAGGGGAAAGGGAGCACATCTCAGCCTAGGTCAGCCCAGAGCATCCTTGGAGCGCCAACTAGGACTCCAGACAAATTTAACTTGCCATTAAGGTCTGGGTCATGAGCCAGCCCAGGACTCAGAGACCCGCCCCTCCTCTGGCTCTCTCTTATGAATGGGCCTCTTCCCAGGCCAAAAACATACCTCCTAGAGCAACTGCAGATTGTAATCTAAAAAATAAGAGGGTAGTGTTGAGTGGGGAAACTGGGGAAGGTGTTTGAGGAGCCACTGGGAAGACGGGCAGCAGAAGCTCTCTGGAATGGCATGGAGAGAGGGCTTTCTGGGAGCCCAGAGGGTGGTGAGCTGAGGAGCCTTGGTGTGGAGGATTTCAGTCCTTGCCCTGCCCCTCCCCCTCCTCAGGGAGGCTGACTCCTTGGCAGACAGCAGATAGATGCATGACAAAGGTGCCGTGATGGCTCTATCTGGGGGGTTGGGGAGATGGCTGGGGAGGAGCCCCTCCTGTTCCAAAGCAGTTTCCCCACCCCCACCAGGCCCCTTAATCTATCTACCTTTGAGTAGTTAGTGGCTTAGAGGTGAATACAGCCCCAGCCCCACTTCCCTGAAGCTCTTCCAACAGACTTTAGGAAAGTATTGAAATGCACGAATACAGTTAGTTGTCCAAAAAGTGCATACAGATGGACACAGCAACAGGGGCTGTGAGATAGAGACTCAAAGAAAAAAAAAACAGGCTCAAAAGCCTCATCAGTGTCAAATTATAATGTACACCTGAAAATTATGTAACTATTAACCAATGTTACCCCGATACACTTAATAAAAAAAAAAAGCCTCATCAGCACAGAGGCGAAGACAGCTGGCCAATCAGGAGGGCCCCCACCGGGACACCCAGCTCCTCAGAAGGCAGACACTGAGCCACTGACCCCAGGAACAACTCTGGTCAGGGCCGAGAGGAAGAGATGCCTTGAGTTGGCAGAGGTCAGTGCCCAGGCTTAGGATTCTGGCCTTCCAAGCTACAGGAAGCTCCCCACCTAATTCACCCCGGGGCCTCCATTTAGGGCAAGTTTTGTGAGCAGACAGACAAACACCATCCCTCCCTCGCAGACAGGCACTCTGAAGACTATTCTCTTGCAAACAGCATCAAGAACAAGGCCAGCAGTGTGAGCCCTCAGGACACTCAGGACAGGCCTCAAAAAGTAGACCCTGACGGAAAGCTTAGGGCAGGCTTCCTGCATCCCCTCAAATCTTCACCTTTGAATCTTTCCATCAGCCCACCCCACTCAAACAAAGTGCATCCCAGAGCCTTAAGGGCTGGGGGATGGGGTGGTTGTGAGGCTGGATGCCTGAGTACTCCAGAGGAAGAGGGGCAGGATACCTAGGTCCAACGGGGGC